CAGAACTTTGGGACAAAAAGAACCAAATTCATTATGTATAAGTCTGTGGATTGTAAACTTTCTTGTGCATCAGGACCATCTGGATTCAGTAAGTATGAGCAGACTCTTTCCCAGTGATGAAAATGGCAACCAAAATTTGAAAATCAACTTTCAAACTGATTTTCAGTAAGTAAGTCTCAAATATAGTTGTCCATGGGAGTCATCTGTAAAGCTTAAAATACTTAAATCCCTGGCCTTACCTGCAGAAATAACTCTTGTTGGCTGGAGTGAAACCTGGGTATAGATGTTTTTTAAGTTCCCCAGGAGATTCTAATATTCAGCCAAAGTTGAAAATCATTTGTGGGTGTTTTTCTGCACCCAACAAGGCTGAGATGAATGATAGGTAAGGATGAAGAAATACAATCCTCCCAAATAGCTGGACCCACCTGTCAAAGCCAAACTCCCTTTTGAAAGAATGTTCCACCTCTCTGTTGTAAGTGGCATATTTATGGCCATTTTCTCTGTTCATTGCCAGGCCTGAGACATAGACATGAGTGCTATGGAATAGCTGTTATGCTTCTCTACAGGTGGGTAAAATGATTCTGAAATATAATTTTCAGAGCACAAGAAGGCAGAATGCATTATATAGGCATAAATTAGTACTAGTCATAATAATAATGAGGTTTCAGAAAGCACTTACTAAAAATGGTCTGACCATCAAAAAGGCCAAAATAGTTTAATTTAAGGGTATATTACCACTCTTGTGTTGAGATCTGCTCGTGTGGTTTCTATTGGTGATAATTTTAGTTGAGAACTCTTATTCAGTAGGCGTGGTAATCAAATACTACATTTAAAGTGTGACTTAATAGTGGCCCACATGTCAGTTGGACAACATTCTACTCCCACAGGTTATTCACCCATATTTCAAAGTTAAAAAACTAAAATCAAGTCATTTCAGACTTTTCTAAACCCAAGTCAAGGATGTTTGTCCTTGTTCCTCTTCCTCCTTCTGAAATTCCCCAGGGAGCAAGACAGATGAATGACTTTTTTTTTTTTTTTAAGTTGAATGTCCTCTGTAAACGGGGCTCGTTAGAACACAAGAAACAAATGCTCATGGTAGCTTAAGTGCTGTGGGTGAGGTGGGGGGCAGAACCTCAGGTATTTTTGTGAAAACATAGCAAGAACCTCAGTTGGGTAGCCTGGTCTCAAAAAACAAAACCAAAAAGAACAAGCACAAAAACAAAAAGGTGAAGAAGCAGGGGGTCAGAAGAGAAGGCATAATGAAGCTGGCTTTGATGAGCCAAGCTAGTTTGGGGACTGGAGAGTTTACTCAGTACCCAGTATTATTCTGCAAGTTGGTAATCTCTTCAGGTCGAATTCAGGCTTTGGTCACATTCTTGGAAATCTCTTGGAAGAAGAGACTCCTTACACCACCTTCAGCAAAAGGGCTCAGAGGGCACTGTCTATCCTAGAACTGTATGTGCACTGGGAGAGAAATGACAGCCCAAAGTGAGCCTACTTAGGAGTCAGCTTCACTGACTTGTTCTCTTTCCTGTGAATCTCTGCTTTTCCTTTATGTCTATTCTATTCTCTCATTATAGACTTGCCAACCCATTTGAAAATAAACTGGTCTGATTGGTTTGGCTAGTATTACACTGGTTATGGGGCTGAGACATTCACATCAATGATTCCATGAATTACCTGCAAGCCTGCAGATGGGCTCCTTGGTCTAATTCCATGGCTCTCTTTGAACAAAGGATCCACCAGCCCTGCATTCTGAAGCTGGAAGCTGTGGATGAGGCAGAATCATCTAAAAAGGGAAGTTGGATCTAGCAGGTACCATCTTGACATAACCTTAAAACTCTTAATATTCTTTTACTAATCCTGCTACTATTAACCATGATCACTATATCCTGATATGCTTTCAGCTTCTCATTACACGTGAACTTACTGCCTGCCTTCTTTTTCTGTAAGTCTTTCATATTTTTTTTAGTCAACTGACTTTTTAATATTTGCAGTTGCAACTCTTGCAAAGAGGATCATATTGGTTGAGTATGTAATTATTGGTCCTATTTGGAAAAAGTCTTTTTAAGCTCACCTCTTAGGTTACTGGGCTTCCATGGTGGCTCAGATGGTAAAAGTGTCTGTCTACAATGCAGGAGACCGGGGTTCGATCCCTGGGTCAGGAAGATGCCCTGGAGAAGGAAATGGCAACCCACTCTGATACTCTTGCCTGGAAAATCCCATGGACGGAGGAGCCTAGTAGGCTACAGTCCATGGGGTCACAGAGTCGGACATGACTGAGCAACTTCACTTTCTTTCTTAGGTTACTAATCAACCAATCAATTTGCCCCTTTGGGTCAGGTACTCTTCCTTGATCTGGTCAGTTGCATCCAATGCAAGATGGGGTATCACATGATCACCCATATGTATCTTAAGATTTCTTCACTTATGTGGCACCACATGGAAGGAACACTTAGAAAAGAACCATAATAATCAGTGTTCTTATTTGTGGGCAAAAATATCCACTTAATTTAAGGTTGAAAAATGTTATAGTCAAAGGTATTAGACAACTTACAAAATCTCAAGTAGAACCAGAAAACCAGGCTTAGATGATTCACACTCAGTAACAGAGCAACTTGGAAAAATGTCCAATCACTGCGGACTGGCGTGTAGAAAGACCATTGCTGACAACTGTTCAGCAGCAAAGCCATTTGGTAGTAACCCCAGAAATTCTACCCTGGCTTCCCTAAAGGACCAGGTGCCTCGGTCACTGAATTTACCTGGTGATCAAGTCTCACCTCTGGTGTTGCTGACTCAAGGAGTTCATCTCCACTTTCAAGTCTCACAAGAGGGCATCAATTAAGCAGAAGTTAGATCATGTGTAAAGTCCTAGATACAAAGGATTTGTGGAATTGTTAAGTTTTAGTTTTCTAAACCTCTGTGATTTAAGAATCAAACAAGGTCACTGTTCAGAATGGGTGCTGAAAAAGCCAAAATACAGAGTCCTCCACAGTAGAATTCTGAATGTCAACATTCCAGTGTCTGTCATTCAGTCTACAGAGATCACGATAAAGAATACCTTATTGGGTAAGCAGTTGTCCTTATTTGGGTAATGATCAGGGAAGTACTCACTTTCCTTTTAAAAATGTAGGCTCTCTCCATTAGCCAAGCCATACTTTTTTGTTCACTCATTCGTTTTTTAATACCTTTATTGAAATCTTTCCTCCATCCCTGGGAAATGCTTCTATCCCTCACCACAGCTATGTATGCAACCCCAAATTCCAAGAACCAGTGTATGCCTCACTTCCCTAAGTAATGTTATCATATTGTAATCACCCCTTCAATCCAAAAACTCTCAGTCTTCCCTTTGAGTGAGTGATACTGATTTACAAGAGTTTACTCATTTTTTCATGTATACAATACATTGTTCTTACAACCCTACTCTCACAATGGAGTGACATGTAGAACTCATACAGTCAATATTTATCAAATAAATACTGATGATTTCAAACACTAATAAGAGGAAGAAGAAAATTCGTTTTTAGAGTTAACAGGAGACTAGAACATTTCAGTTTGCCTGAAATCAAATTTATTCAATCCACATTAAAATCTTTCATATGTCTTAGAAACTTAGGAAAACACATTAGCATTGTACAAATTCAAGACAATTAACAGATACACAGTAAAGTGGCCTGCCTTTTCAGAGGTTCCTGACAATATCCAGGAAATTGTTTGGGAAAGGAAAGGGGATTGAATGAGGATGAGAAAAGGGTGTGGGGAAGGGGACAGGATAGTGATATTCATGAGTCTGTGTAGATTTGGAAAGTGGTCCCATTCGTGATAATACAGCTGAGTCCTTAAACATGACAGTGCACCTGAGAAATGGCAGTATGCTGAACCCTTTGGTCAGACTCTTTCCAGGACTCAATATTGCAGAAGAAAAAAAAAAGAAAAACATATACATGTATGGAGGAACAAAGTGGGTCAATTCAACCAAAGTAAGGACAACGAGTCTGCCTGCAATGCTGGAGACCTGAGTTCGATCCCTGGATTGGGAAGATCCCCTGGAGGAAGGCATGGCAACCCACTCCAGTGTTCGTGCCTGGAGAATCAGAGAAGCCTGGCAGGCTATAGTCCATGGGGTTGCAAAGAGTCAGACACGACTGGGTGACTAAGTTCAGCACAGCACAAGGACATGAGAGGGGCTTCCCTGGTGGCTCAGATGTTAAAGAGTCTGCCTGCAATACAGGAAACCCAGGTTCTATCTCTGGGTCAGGAAGATCCCCTGGAGAAGGGAATATCTACCCATACCAGTGTTCTTGCCTGGAAAAGTCCATGGACAGAGGAGCCTGGAGGGCTCAAGTCCATAGGGATGCAGAGTCAGACATGACTGAGTGACTAACACACACACACACAATGATGAGGACATGGAGAGTAGCATCTATTCTATCCGCAGCACCTAGCATTGAGACATATACCAGCAGATTAGTGCATATTGATTAGGTCATGTACATAAAATGTGTTCTTTTCGTTCAGCAAGTGGAAAATGTTCTCCATAAACTAGGCTGAGCAGTAGAAAGTCATCCAATATGATCTGTTCATGCCTCCCTCATGCATATGCATCCTCACTAAACTCTTCCTGCTGTCACTGCTAAACCAGGCGCCCCACTCCCACTCCACCTTCTCCAAGCCAAGCGCACCTGCTACCCCAGGCACTCTGCTGTTGCCACGTCTTGCTGCATAATGCCATTGTCAACCTCCCTGCCTGGCGCGCCGTGCCATCCTCCTTCACTGGAGGAAGGAATGTTTAATTATTTTTAATCAGTGGACATGGCATCTTGCTAGACAGTGACACTTGGGGGATCCAACACCATCTGCCTTCCACCAGGCGCCAGCTGCTCTGGTGGATGTCGGCAGAACACCTTAGGACATGGCCTTCCGCTGCCAGGCGCCCGCGAGCGGCTGCCACTCGGCATGGTCTCCACCGGAGAGGCTGCCACTTGGGCTCGTTCCCTGTCATGGCTCGCCTGTCACCCCTGCCACCCTCCCAGGGAGGCACTCTGCAGCCCCAGCTCCCAGAACATTTCCCAAGCAACGGGGGTGCCTGCCAGTAATCACAGGGTGTCCAAATATAAATGTCACCTTAACCCAATGGCCACGGAGCCTTCCATCACCATTAGTCAACCTAATGGATCTGCTGACTTCAGTTCCGCCGAGAACCGCTCCTGACTTCGCAGCAGGCCAGCCCCTGGAGAGAAAGGGTCAGCCGGCTGCCTTGAGAACAGTGGGAAAGAAGGGAGAGATGTGCGTCTGGGAGTCATCACGGAGCTGTCCAGGGTGAGCCGTGCCCTGGCCAACGCGCTCCGGATTGTCTGCGCTCTTCAAGCTCCTGTCACAGACCTGTCCCTTCCACCACCTCCCCAAGACAGTTTCCGCAGCTCGCACTGCTGCGCCCGCGCTTTCACTCCTGCAAAGCACGTCTCGTCGTCGGCCGCAGATGCTGCAGCCGCCCCAGCGCGGCCTCTATCCGGAGCGCAGGCCACCTCCTACCGAAAAAGCCGGCTCCGCTCCCAGCTTAATTCCTCCACTGCGAACGGCGCCCCCGGGTCCTTTTCACCCCTACCACTACCAGCGACGTGGTAAGGAGCCAAATGTCGCGGCTCCAACCTCGGTCTTATTTTCATGCAAAGTGAAAGAGCGCAGCCGCCGGGTACTTACTGAAGGGGAGATAAAAGCCCCAGCTGTGCCGTCTCCCGGAATCAGTTTCACCTCTAGCAGGAAAGCAAACTGTTTTGGTGCCTGGGGGACATGACGGAGCCTCACACGTTCATCCAGAGAGGGACAAAGGGGAGATCAGGTGCTGCACCCGCCAGAACGAGGGACGTGTGAAATGTGATTAACCAGGGATGGGGCCAGACAGAGGCCGGCTGGGGCCGCGCCTGTCCCTGGGTGTTTCCTAGGGTCAGAAGCAGGAGGAAGAGTAAACAAAAGCATTAAAGAAATATTTTTCCATTTAACCCGTATGTTAATACAGCTTTTCACAACCTCGACAGCGCTGACTAAATCGATAGCGCAGCATCAGCCTAAATAATGAAGGAAGTGGTACATCTGTTGAATTCTCTGCTTTTGTGAAAAGAGAGGAGGCTTGTGGGAGCCAGGTGGGGAATGGAGGTGAGAAGGGAAAGAGGTTCCAGAAGATGCAAGGTAGTCACACTGTACCTGCTGTCCATCCCACACAGGGGAAATTTTCTGGGGCTCATCAGATACACTTGCCTAATGTTATTTCTCAGGCTAAATACAAACCACTGGTGCCTGTAGAATTAAAGTCATCAATAGCTGAGCTCGCCTGCATTTACAGGAAGACACAAATAAAATCCCTACTGATAAGCCCGTCAGAGTAGGAAGTTTTCTGTCCCTTTGCAGACAGACTCCGTAAGAGCTCTGTGTGGTAAATGGAGCTGCAAGTACATTTGTGTCTTTGTCTAAATAAGTAATGCCAAATTCATTTTCAAACAGTGTGCTTTGGGTTGCATTCATTGCTGTCAGGGTTTTGTTTCCACCCCAGCCCTCCTGCTTGGACAACTTGTCTCTGGTTAGAGGATAGATGCTGAAAACAGACACTGTTTGAAATTGACTGCAGATGTATTAAATAATCACAAGAGAAATTCCAGTAAAAATAGAGTCAATTATCAAAAGATTAACACTTTCCTTTGTTCTGTTTGGAAAAAAAGGAAAAGCAAGGAGGGGAAGCAATTTTCAAGGCAGGCACTGATGCTTTAAAAGGATTCTTCATAGGTGAATTATTTAATCCTTTGTGACTAAGGAAATCTGTGTGTGCACTGCGGGAGGGGGGAGTGAAAAGGAAAAAATGTACAATATTGAAAAGTAAAAATACAATATGTGGCACATCGAGAACATGTAAGTTAGAAGGCCTGTCGGTGGTTGATACCTGAATCAATCTTGATTACTCTCCTATAGGAAGAATCTGCAGATATTTTCTCAAATATCCCTAAAGGATTAACATAATCAGCTATCAAGTGCCACTGCAGCTACTTCACAAAAACGCAGTTAAGGCGGCACTTATCTGGCAGTGGGAAACTCTGAGAGAAGGCACTTCATATATTGAGGTTTTAAATAGTATTTTTTAGGGCCCTCTTGACTAAGCAAGAGCTGCTCTGGAGGTCGGAAGGGGTCTAGTATCTGCCCGTGATGTGCAGTGGGCTGTGGGGGAGAAGGATGTGTGTCTGAGCATGTCGGGTGTTGAGGGATAAGTAGTAATTTGCCTCCAAGGAAGTTCCCTGGAGGGGGGAGTGGTTGACAGGAGCAGAGTCAGGCTTCCAGAAAAGCCAGCTCAAACAGGATTACCTTAGTTAGCAGACAGCTAAGAGAGTGGTTAATATTGACCTTCACAATCAAGTGCCTATGTCTCCCCAGGAAGCTTTCCCATGCAAGCTAAGCCTAATTTCTCTTGATCAATAACCCTCTCTTTCTGTATGACTCAACTCCAGGCACAGAGACTCTAAGAGGCTTTTGCAGTAGGCAGAGCTCTCTCAGGCAGGAGAATCAATTGATTTGCCTTAGTAGCACAGGCTGAAAGGGCCAATTTGCACAAGAAGGGTCTCTTGGATGGGCTGATAGTCCACAAGTGTGGCAGAAAAAGAACATTCAGAGGGTCTTGGCTGAGCTGGGTTGGTCTGAAGTAGAGAGAAGCATGCCCTCAGGAGCAGAGGTTTACACTTGAGCTACTTTCAAAGTTTGCCTACTTTCACCTACTCTTTTTCGTTCTACTCATTTTATGAGCAATATATATTCTGAGTGATCATCATACATATTCTGTAATTTTTCACTGAGAAAAATAGCTTTTGCATTTCATACAGCTTCTAATTCCAAAATTAGTTCAACATCTCGCAGTGAATATAGAAATATATACCCCGTTCAGAGACATACTTAGGGCTGCTATTGATTTATGCTATATCATGATTTTAGTCTTACAGGATAATCACCTTGTCAAGGCTATATTTATTGTTGTGGCTGTTAAATCACATTAATTCCTCAGCAATTACACAGAAGTAAAGCATCTGCAAACTACAGCAGTGACAGAATTCAGTTTTCATCCCTAAATAAACTCAATAGAAAGATAGCCATGTCCTACTTTTTCAATGGCATTCCAACTTTTTCTTTTTGCATATCTTACAGGAGCATTGAACTTGGAATGCAGCCAGAGCTCAGCCATAGATTTGAACTCTGGTGGAAAAGACCCTTGAGGGAGAAGAAGTGCGTTGGAGACAAGTGCTAATGGCAGCATAGCACAGAAGCAAATTGCCCATCAAATGGGACAACTTAGTGTCGCCGAGCATTTGCAGGGAAAATAAAAAGGAGAAAGCAGAAATCATATAATACTGGCTGCCCTTGATTTAGGTTGCTTTCAGTAAACTAGTGTGGGAATGCGACTCTCTCTGGTGCTCAGGGAGTTTATAATAACACTGTCCAGACCCAGCTTGCCTTAAAACTCCTATGGGTCTTAGCACTATGAAAGTGAGAAAATGAGAGCTATGCAGTGAAGGGGTTTCTTACACTGGGATGTGAGTTGACAGGATCCTTTGGAAGATATGCAGGAAGCTCATACCACATTCACACTGGATGCAAAAGTTGATCTCAAGGCTGGGGGAACCCACGGGGAGCAGGTGGCCCTGCAGAGCCTGCACATGACTGGTACGTGGATCAGGCAAACCTGAGAGAGAAAGTGCCCCCCCACCCCTGCTCACCCTCAGAGCCCCTTATTCTATCATATTTACAAAGGCAGCATTACCTAGAACTTAAGAAGTCTGCCTCTAACGGGAAATATCTGGCTTGAAGTTTGCCAACTCAGATCACTTGAAAGGACTCAGCTTGCTTTGTATTTTTAATAAAATTTTCAGTAGGATTTCATCCAAACTGGCTCATCATCCTTCTGCTTTACATATTGATTTTGTCACTAATCTGGGGCAGGCTTTAGCTTGATTCAATCCCTGGGTCGGGAAGATCCGTTGGAGAAGGAAATGGTAACCCACTCCAGTATTCTTGCCTGGAGAATCCCATGAATGGAGGAGCCTGGCAGGCTACAGTCCACTGGGTCGCAAAGAGTCGGACACGACTGAGCGACTTCACTTTCACTTTCTTTCACTTTTTTAGTTTGATTGAAGCCCACGTAACCGAAAGACTTGTTTATATGCCTCTGATGTTCTTCATTTTTGTGAATGCTAAACACCTTTCACCTATAACCTGTATCTTAGCTGAAGTCCCAAGCCAACAATAAGGAAAGAATGATGGGGAACAGGTATGGTGCACAAGGGTTGCTCTGGACTCTAATTAGTATTGGTTCATTTTAGTCCAGTCAACTGTATCATGCTTAATAATGCACTAAGCTTTGACTCCAGTAGAAATCACAATATGCTGTGCTTAGTCACTCACTTGTATCTGACTCTTTGAGACCTCATTGACTGTAGGCCAGCAGGCTCCTCTGTCCATAGGATTCTCCAGGCATGAATACTGGAGTGTGTTGCCAGGCCCTCCTCCAGGGGATCTTCCCAACCCAGGGATCGAACCCAGGTCTCCAGCATTGCAGGCAGATTCTTTACTGTCTGAGCCACCAAGGAAACCCAAGAATACTGGAGTGGGTAGCCTATCCCTTCTCCAAGGGATCTTCCTGACCCAGGAATTGAAACAGGGTCTCTTCCATTGCAGGCAGATTCTTTACCAGCTGAGTTACCAGGGAAGTCCCAGAAATGACAATAAGTAAGTTTTAAAATGTAGATTCTGATACTGTAAAAACATACTAAAAATAGTCTCGGAAATCTGGGGTGGGGGTGAGGGCGGCAGGGAACCCTCACTGGACTATCATGGGTTTTGTTAAAGAGAAAATGAATAACTGCTTACCTCATGTAGCCAGCTCCTAATTTAATTGGTTCCTACTTTTTTTTTTTTTCCTACTGTTTTGAAAAGAAGCATGGAACACCTGAACTGTAGGATGCATGCTTTTGTTCTGGCTTCTATAATACTGAAAGATGTCGCAGAACCATTTTTGTTTGTCACAGAACCCACAGAATGGCTTTGTACTTCCTTAAGTGGATCTATCTTGATGGTAAAGTGCTTTTCCTTCAACACCACCTGACATACCCACAGCACACTCACCACCCTGCTACTCTGCTCTACCCAGACATTTCTCCTAAGTCAACTTTCCTTTTCCACATCTTACCTCTTTGGGCTTTTATTATGCATATTTTTCAGGGTGCCCTAATTCCAAGGGCTTTTCTTCCCTCCTTGATGTTATGATAGATATATCACTGAACATTCTTAATAGAAAGACACTAAAATAGACTTCCCCATCAATACGCCTCATAGAGTCAACATAGCTTTTTATACTTATTATTCTCACCTATGTCATCATGTTAGAAGAATAGCTCTGAGCCAGTCTCCCCAGATGTTATACTGCTCATGTTCGCCAAAACTTCTTTCAAATCATTGACCTTAGAGACAGTGAGTACGGTTTGTCAATTTCCTTTCTCTCTGCCTCCTCCATCCCCCTCTGTCTCTGAAATCTGACCCTTGTTGCTTTCCCCCTAACCTCTCTTGGTCCTGGTCTCTTGGGGGTGATGTGGTCTTTC